TTATGTGAAGCTGCTTTGACACAATCTACATTGTAAAAGCGCTATACAAATAAAGCTGAATTGAATTGAATTGAATGTTGGGCATGATGAGTGACAGGGTGGCCGTCTTTTCATTACACAGGACAGTCGTGACTCTTTACAGCAGTTTAGGCAGGTTTACTATTTCTTCGGCGTCGCTGATGTCGGTGCTATCAAGTGTATCATGTTTACGTGCATTTTTGTGTACCTTTGTGCTCAAAAGGGTTAATGCTCGTCGTAATCATAACTCTAAAATGCGATATGATTGTTTAAATAATGTGTACGTTTTCGGTTTCATTTCCACTGCTAAGTGCTGTTCATACTTCCCACGCGGCTCCTAAAAGATCACTCTGTTCCACAAACTGAATGTTGTTTACCACTTTATTACCTGTTAGTCACAACCTGCAGGTTCTGTTCACTGAAGCATACGCACGCGTCTATCATAGTCCGTCCTCTGTAGTAACAGCTCACGTCATGTGTGATTTTGCGGCCGCCAATACATCATTATATGAAGACAGAATGATTTTTTAGGGTGAATTGTACCTTACAAATACAGTATGTGACTCTTTCAACACCATTAGGAGGTATCCATGTCGCTGTGCAAAGTATGTAAATCACTGTGAAGACTTTAAAACTTAGGATGTTTGACCCAGTATGTGTGTCAAAAAGCGGACGAGTCTAAAGCAATGACTGTACAACCGAAATGTTGCCAGACGTCTGATTTTGAGAGGATGGGCCATCCTCTATTTCAACTCCACTCATCTTGGTCTGCTAACATTACTGCTGCTGCAATCTGAACTCACGTGCGACAGCAGGTGGAACGTAGCTCACGTGCAAACAGTTCAACTAATAAGAGAAAACGGACGTCATATTGTAATCAAATCGTCGTAACGCCACGATGCATATCGAGACATTTTTGCATCGCAATAAATCGTACAACGATAAATCGTTACACCCCTAGAATTTGCACTAACAAAGTATGGTCGATTTTTCCTTTTATGACAATAAATCATTTTTAATAGCACTGGCAAAACTACCACATACTTTTCAGGGCATAGAAACACTTTTTTGTCAATTTTTAAACAATACTTTCAAGCTTTGAAATGTTTAATAAAAGTATATGATGAAAAGATTTAAATTTGGGGTTTTATTTACATATTTTACACTGTTTTTCCTATTTGCTCATTGTTGTCTATACAATATTTTACTTTACACTTGATCTTAAACTAAAAATAATTTTACAAAAAAGACAAGAACACTGTCAGTAATAAAATAATAAAACAAATGACTTTGTTCACTTGAGGTATTTGCAATCTGACAACACTACATTTCTCAAAGCAGTGTTTTTGGATGTTTATTTTGATAAATGTAACTGATTATTTTGACCTGTAATGCCTGCACAATAGTGATGCTTTAAGACAGATCAGGAAACCGCAATTATGTATAAATCACAAAAATACCTCATCCAGAAGCATTTCTAGCATAACTATTTTGTCATAAAGAAATTAAAAAGTTCCACCTTTGCTGAAAGTTCTGGTAGGCTAAGTTTCACTTCACAATACAGCCAAATAAATCCGTAAGCATTGTCATGCATCAATCTAATTCTAAATAATTGATAGTTTTTGACAAAGTTTAGCCAAGGAGCAAAGATTAAGGAAGTAATTTCTGCTTCTAAGAGATCGCGTTTGTATAGTCTGTGCGCACACAGATGAGATCATGATGAGATCATGAGAGGATTTGCAGTTAATTTGAAAAAGCCTTTTTAAGAGCTCGCAAATCCAGTTTTAGTGATTAACGTACATGGCTGTGCTCTCGTGTTATAATAAAGCACTAGCGACATTTGCAGAAATGAAGATTGTGCAATACCTGCATTTCCGCGACGAAATTCAGACTGTATTAAACCAGGCTTAAGAAGAGTGACAGGTGGTCGGAGAGAAGAGAGCCAAACGCGTGTAGATCATCAAAATTGCAGGATGTCGGCGGTTTAATTACTCTTGCAAATAACATAGACATCTCTATAGTGAAAACACCCGAAAAGCATTATTCCAATAAAACATTTGCTTTTAATTTGTTATTTTCTGCCACTGGAACACAGAGAGTCCTTTGTCCTGCCCTTGCACGCTGCTCTATCCCATGATGCCCTGCGAACAAATTCCTGAATGGGAGTGAAGCGAAGCAAATGACGCAGGTAGGTCGCGTGACCATGACAAAATAGCGGATGTAGTAAGTCCGAATTCCATTCATACTTTTCACATTCATACTGTATAGAACATACTTTTCTAACGGCCGAGTAGTACATTTACATTCAAATGCAGTACCTACTGAGTAGTAGGCGGTTTCGGACGCAGCCTGTCTTGCGTACAGTATGTTTGTTTGTGCATAGTGGTTCGACTCTAGCTCCAGTTCACTCTTTGTGAATCTCCCACACATTTTTGAATGGGTTTTGTTTCACAATTCTCTCCAGGGAGCAATTATCCCTATTGCTTGTACACTTTTTTTCATTCGCTTTGCCTCTATATTAGCATGTTTAATTGGACCAATCAAAACTCTGAGGCAGAACATGTGTTGAGAGTCTATGTTTATGGGTAGCAAGTTGGCATGATGACAACATCTCGGTGGAACCACTTCTGAGCACTTTATCTGAATGGATGCTCCAAGACAAAACTCTACTCTCTCTCTCCAGGGTCCAGAGCAACCCCCCTCTCTGCTCTAAAACATGCTGTTTTGAACTTTTCTTCAAATCTTCTGCAACTTCCTCAGAAACCTAAGGATGAGACCTAAGCATTGAAACCTTCAAGAAAGCAGGCGGAAACCCAAACAGAAAAGGGTTAATTGCACCGCGCTCTGACATTTCATATTTGATTACGCTTGGTTTGCTTTTACAAACTCCGAGGTTTTTCCATCATTACATCCTCTCAACCACTTACTTCACAATTGTTACTCTTCCCTATGCTTGTATGAATGTGTTTTTGTGTTAGGTGTTAGTTTCTGTTAGATTAGTAAATAAGTTTAATTTTGTATAAAGAAAGGTGCCTGTGTATTTTAATGAATCTAATGTCTTAAACTTTGATCTTGCTACCCTGCTCAAACTTTATGGGTTTTTATTTTGATAGCATCGCTGGACGATTCGTTTGTTCGGAACTAAAGAGTCGATTCATTTGAAGGCCCGTTCAAATGAATCTTCCTCCCGCTAAGCTAGTCCGCTATATAATGGTCCAGATGGTACACGAGCATTGAAATCTAAATCATAACTCGCAACATTATAACGGCGGGAAAGGTGCGGGAAGAATAACCTTGAGCTAATTTTTACAGTAATAATGGTGTAGAATCACTTTAATCTACATTATAATTTGTTACAGATTATTGATGTAGATATGCGTGCTAGTTAATCTACATTATTAATATAATTTGCTACATGTTTATTTGTGGAGAATAAGCAAAGCATTAAATATGTAATTTTTACACTGTATTCTTCATCAGAGTGCATAAATCAAACCATGACGATTTGAGACTTAAGCCTGGTACATATTACAAGTTTCTTCGCTGGTGTTTTGTTTTTTTCTGAAAGCTTCCTTAAATGTAAAAGTGGTTTAAACTCGCTCATTTTGAGGCAGAAATTGGCAGACGTGAAACAATCTTAACCACAAGGAAAACACAAAACAAAACTTTTCTTCTAGAGTTCCTTCACAGGACTCCACACTTGTAAACAGTCGCTCCAACAGACCAGCTCTCTGTCCTGCCCACACTTGTCAAAAATTCCAAGCCGACCAATCATGTAGCTTGTGCTATGCGTCGTTGTAGCGTGTAGTTTAATTTTTTGAGAGATGCGCGTCAGCAACGCCGACGGCCAGGGCGAGGGCTATGCGTCCACGCGTAGGCTGCGCTGTAGCACACGTGTACACTTGACGCAGAAGTATAAATCAGCCTTAATACACATACGCAACATCCCTACATGTTGTTGTAAAAAAAATAATAAATGGGTGAAAAGAGAAGAGAGAACCCAGTCCAGGAGACTCGAAACAAGCAGAATTCCTTTATTGAGACGTGTTGGTTAATCTGCAGTCATACAGCGTCTTTAAGATGTTCATGTGTCTGCAAGAGCCTACTAGAGGTCCGCAGTCTGCAAGTTCTTTCACGAGTCTCTCACAAGTCTCACACAAGTCTCACACAAGTCTGCAAATAGTCTGAATTAAGACAAAGATTTCATGGCTATATTGTGTTCTTAGGAGGAGGGGATATAGCTAAACAAAGCATGCAAATTCAGTATTGGAGTCAGCATGGCATAGGTGTTAAAAAACGGCCCAGCTACTGACCACACAAGTTAATCAACATAGGGTTTCTGTAGCATAAAAGGAACACCCGAAGACAAAGACAGAGTCGTTTAAAGCATTTGCATCACTGGCTTAGCCTGTTGTCAGAGAGATAAAGGTTAAATGTCCCTCCTAGCTGGGATGTTAATGAAATTATATAATTAAAAACCAGAGAATATAACTTTTCAGTTATACGTAGATTATTGTTCATTTGGAATTAGTTGATAGAAATTTATATTTCCACAGTACACCCATACATGTAGCATGGGGTCAGAGGTGATTGATTGGAGGGGACTCCTGAAAGTAATTTTCCATTACTTTCTCTAATAATGTGCAAGGACACATTTTGTAATGAGTTTTAACCTTCTTGTTTGAGTTTTCTTTCCTTCCTTGAGCAAAGTGTCATAGGTTGTCTTTTAACAACTGTCAATTCAGCCATCTTCCCCATGATTGTGTAGCCTACAGAACAAGACTGAGAGACCTTAGAACTTTCAAGATTGATGTAACACAGGTTGAAAATGTAATAGATTTGCATCGACATTTGCATCGACATTGCATGTAAATGGTTTAAAAATAAATGCTCCAATTGTTAATAGGAAAACTGTGTAACAAATGATGAGTAACAAACAGAGAAACAAGTAACAGTTAGTACTGCATAATAATTAAACTTACCTTCTTTTTCATGGCTGTGCTGGACATTTCCCTGCTCGACTTCACTTTGCCACTGTCAATCAATGCACTCCACAGATGATTAAAAACTGCAAAAATACCACAATCACCTTCATTGTTTTGCTTGGCAAGGTATCATTCAACATTGTAATTTTGATAGTGTTAAATTTAAGCATGTATTCCTAAAAAATTACATTTCAAAATTACAAAACCACAATCATTTCATTGAAACCTAAATTATTTTATGTCCAGTTCAGATAGCATGAGAAAACCTATAAAACCCTTATAAAACTCCAAATGCCATTTTCATAAAAGTTCAAATGGAATGGAATACTTGCTAACAATTTCTATGAAATCTGTTTTCATAATGAATTATAGCTTAATTTATAATTAATTATGATCAAGCTGAGACATGCACGCTCACACATGCACTCAATAATGCAATTGCAAGTGATACCACTATGAGGGAGAGGGTATGGGATCAATTTCCCGACAAATGTATGGCAATCTTGGATTAAAAAAAAAGTTTATTTTTCATATTTATGATTATTATTTTATCAGTGACAACGATTTGATTGGTGGGATTTTGATCCCATAGTAGGGTTTGGTGCTGTTTTTTAGATGGTATGTCAAGATAATAGAGTTTAATCTATGCAGCGATAGAGTAAAAATGCAGTGGTGCTCTTTAAAGTTAGTCCAAGGCATTGGACCAATCAAACCTATGAGGTGGAACAAGTGTTGAGAGCTTATGATAATGGGTAGCAAGTTGGAATGACAACAACATCATGGTGGAACCACTTCTGAGCACTCCATCTGAACGGCTGCAAAGTCTTTGTTGTGCTCTTTTCTACCATAATAACTCTGGTGATTGACATATGTGTACTGCATTCTTTGTCGTGAACTGTATTCTTCATCAAAGTGCATAAACCAAACCATGACGGTTGTATGAAGGTAATCCAATAGCAAAACTCGAGAGCTTGCAAATCTGAATGTGAGAACTTGTAATAATAATATTTGTATGTGTTGGCTGAAATGTACTCACAGCTCTGATGTGAACAGCTGCATCTCTCAATTTGCACACACAGACAATAATAAACACACTTGTGTTTTGAAGTCGAAGTTGCAGATTAATAGTTATGCATTTGTAAAATGTCATTCACAAATACAAAATGACCTACACACATGTGCACAGCAAATTTGATTGCAGCTTTGCTGTACAACCACAAGTCGGCCCTCACAACCTCTCAGATTCGTCAGTTTAACTACAAATTTCTCACGCTCTGACTTTTGCTACACATCTTGCGCAATCTCTGTAGCAGAACTCATTTGTGCACTCGTAGATGCAGAGAGCAAGTTATTGTTTTTGGGTAAGTTATTGTTTTTAATAATTATATGTTCAATGCTGTTAGCTAAGCAAAGGTCTGTGCTAGGTGGTTTTGTAGTTTCTATAAGTAACAGTGGACCACAATCACTGTACACAGATGGCGCAGGAGAGGATGATAGAGCATAATCACTGTTTCCTCAGATTACTGTGAAGGACTTTAATCGATTCATTCATAGAGCAGTCACACCAAACAGCAAAGAGAAGTGGTTCAAACTCTACATTTCGAGTTTCATCAATTATTTTGAGGGTGAGTATTATCATGCTATAAATAAGAATAGCAATTAAATGCTTGCCTTGTCTGGTTCATACCAGTTTTTGTTATATTTTAATTACCTGCATCATTTCTATCTGTCCATTTACATGTTTGTGTACTTTGTATGCTTAAAGGAGAGATTAACGTGTTTCAGGTTGATGATGAATTCAGAGAAGCTGCATAGCTTGAGTAGGTTATTTATACTCAAGATGACAATAATCCATCTCATCTACAAAGATATCAAAATGTTTTAGATCATTTGCGAGGAAGCTGACCATTTCTATTTTAACCTACCAAGAGCGATTGTTTACAAGTATGGAGTCCCGTGAAGGAGCTCCAGATGAAGAGTTTTGTTTTGTGTTTACCTGATAGTTAAAAGTCACTTGACGCAGAAGTATAAACCAGGCTTAAGTCAATGCAAACACGAGAATAGACATCCTGCGGCGTGGCGCGAATTGATTGTTTAGCGAGTTTGAAGCGATAAACGCACGTTTGGCTCGATTTCAAAAATCTGAACTGAAGCGGACATTTGCGTCGCGTAAACCAATCAGGAGCTTGCCCTTGTGGGGCGTGATTGTGACGTACGCCTGTTGTTGGTGTCATGGGGGAAATCTTCAAGCCGACACCGACAACAGTGCCTCAAACTGGGCTCCATCCAGGTTAAGTTTCTGGTGGAGTTTATGAGCTCATTGAGCTGGATGCACCTCTGAAAGGATCTAGTGGACTTGGACACGGCCCTAAACGTATCAACGCTCTTTTTGAGCCTTCATAAAACATATAAACACTTTTAATTTCTTAATAAAATCCATGTTATCCATTTAACAATGAAGCTAAAGTCACCGGGCAGACAGAAGCTCTACCCATCATGTGAAAACGCGTCCGTTCTGAAGTGAATTTGACGAGCGAATGAGGCGGATTTGATACGTGAACGATGCAGGGTTTGATGTGCGAATGAAGCAAGTAAACTGAAATGTTTACGCGGCTATTGACGCGCGTATATCCGCATCTGAAGTGAACATATAACAGAGAGAAGAATTCCTCATTCTCGCCATCATATGGATTTACTTTCATCGCCAAGACATTGGCCTCACAGCTCCGTAAATGTCGGTGTCATCACTTGTTGATCCGTGATCGGTAAAAGTAGCTTGTGTGGACTGCGCTATTAGAAAGTAGCAACTTTTTTTTTTCAGGTCTTTTTGTTAGATCGATTCTATGAGATCAGTTTGCCTAAGCTGATACTTTGAATCGAAAGAGGCATAATAACATGATTTATTTACTTTGCATGTTCAAAAATAATTGAGGGGATTTTTTTAAAAACAGTATCAGGTGTGACTGGCAATGTTTATTTTTTGTCTACCTGTGATTAGTTTAATGAAATCGCATCTTAATATAAGCAGGTATAAACAGCAAGCACATGCTCTCTCTCTCTCTCTCTCTCTCTCTCTCTCTCTCTCTCTCTCTCGCAAGATGTAGGAGAGTGGTAAAGGTTTGGTGGGGTCATGAGGAAGACTGATTTCTACTGTCTACTAAATACTTTTTTTCCTTCTTTCCTTACATTTTTGGATTTATTGTTTCAAATAAATTGGTGAGAGAGAGAACGGCGTCGTTCGTGGATGATGTACATCTCTTTTATTTGACCATAGTGTCAAGTGCATGACAGAACAAGGAGTTAAGGTGGAAAGTGTGCCACTAGCCATGGGAGAACAAATCGGCTTTGAAAATATAGTTTCGGAGTCTAGGATGAACAAAGCAGTAGTTGTTTTTCTTAAGGAAGAATACTTTGTCGTGCAGCTTATTGAGAGTAGTGTAGTAATTAGTGGGAGTTTTTGTACCGTACTACCTTTAGTTGCATTAATGAGTAATGAGTTTTTTGATGCTTAATGAGAAAATGGAAGGGCCTTTTGAAGGCCTATTAGAAGACAAACAAAGCAGATATGATGATGACGACACTTTCTCTCAGATGTCAGATTTTTCCGAAATAGGTTCTTAAATGCAGAACAGTAATCTTTAATATCTACAAGAGATAAATAAATTTTTGGATAATACTATTGGAAGAACAGTTGAAGTAGAAGATTTTTTTCCCAGATACTGAAAAACTTGTGAAAATGGTTATTAGACTTAGTTCCTGCTCCCAACCTGACTTAATGTTCAGGCAACGCCATTTTCTCGTGGCTGCAGTAGCAGTTGATTTCAGACCACTGGTGAGTAGACTATAAACATTTATCCAGTATTTATTTTTCGGCTGTTTGTAAATACCGGAAAACACTGTTATAGGTAGTTTTAAGCCCTGTGCCTTGGCATGTGAGCTCGCTGGTTAACCTGCAAGATTTGAATGGTGGACACAATCTCTTTTAAAGTGCCATGACACCCCCCACTATCGGTTAAAGTCTACTTTAGAATTTTTTCAAAAGATGCATGATTAATGGGCGTGGAGCTCCGCGAGCATCGGGCAGGACTGGGCGTAGCCAGCAGGGGAGAAGGGGAGCGAACAACTGTTGATGACAGTTAGCTCACAAAATGAGACAAACCATGAGGAGACGCATGAGTTTATAGTTTACAAAGTTAAAATGCAAAGAAATGAACTGTGATTTAATGCCTTGCTACATTTGTCATTCGTATTTTCATATACAGACAACCACAATTTATATCATTATAAAGATAAGTGTGTTCATGTAAACCCTATAAATGAGGACTTCTCCCTCAATCCCTGTATCCAGCAGACTCAGTGCAGCAGGTCTCCTGTCTATTTTAACCATTAGCCCTGCTGGTAATTTGGAGGATTTAGGCAAACACAGCAGCACGGCGATGTGTCTGAATGCGAACGAACTCCTGATAAAAGACAGCGTCCGCCATTCTCTAATTCTCGTGCTGCTCTCCCGACAAAAATGCTAGCAGCAAACACACAGCTTTGCTGTATGATCGGCCCTGACAAGATCGCGGGGAAAAACATGCAACAAACCCTGTGGATCATGGAAACAAACACATATGAGCCTTCATGAACGGCTAAATACTGTGTGCCGTGTCTCACAGCTCGGGCTTGACTCTGGCAGATCTGGCAGGTCTCATGAATAATTAAGCAGCCGGCTCTTCTCATAGGATAAGAAAACTCCACTATGAAAAATAATGAGAAACCGACGCGTCATCATTGCACTTGCAGTACTGCGCTACGTCGCCGATTTTGATCCCGCCCTAAAAATCATTTTAAACCCGGAAGCTGAAATTAGCTGACAAAAGCTCAACATTATCCAGTTTTCCCCACAATTAAAGCTGACAGGTGCTAACAATGTCTTAACTGATGCTCAACACACACAAATCTGTTAATATAAAAAAAAAGTTCTCCAGTGTGTCCTGAACCTTTAAATATATGTCTGTGAAGCATGTTCCGCGGATGATTTACTGCGAGAAAAACATGCTTTAAACGAATCGCGGCATTTTCACTTGACAACAAGCAT